AATCTAAAGTAATTTAGGATTCACATATATTTCCTTATTTGGTATTCACATATATTTCCTTATTAAGAGGACAAATCTAAAAGTAATTTGTCCTAAATTACTTTTAGATTTGTCCTATGGTTTTATTACGCGATTAACAACCAATTTCTGGCAGAAGGGCCAAAAGGATTCACCGAGTTCAAGATGGTTGAGAACAAGGACATGTTCATTCGGATTGACCTTCCCGGCGTTCCAGAAGACGGCGTGAATGTTATGATTGATCCGACGAGGAAAAAAGTGTGTATCGTCGCCAAAGCACCGAAGGAGCACAAACACGACTCTTCTCCTCGGATCTACGTCGTCGTTACAGGGCTCGTCTGCAAATGCTGCTCAATCTCCCACTTCACCTCCCACATGTGTGACGGCGTTCTCAGACTTCTCTTCTTCAAGAGACAGAGCACTTCAAATCGCTCTTCCTCCATCTGTACTTCTTTTTGTCTCTTTTTTTTTGTTTTAAAAATTATTTATTCAGTCATTTAATTTATAAGTGTCTTTTTCTGATAATTTTTTGGTTTGAATTTGTTTATGACAACGTTTCTTGGTGGCCCAGATTTCCGAGATGGTTGGTATTTTTTTTATTTATTTGATCTGCCATTTCCATCAACTTCATTTCCGTATCTTGATTTCACTAGTCTTTTTAACTTCAATATTTTTTGAAAACAACATACCTAAAATGCTCGTCTTCTCTTATTTGTGGTCACAGATCTTCGTAGCTGCGTTCCTCACAAATATCCGTATGCCTCGGACCCCTATGGTATTCACATAAATTGTTGAGCACTCCATCCTTCTGCTCCAGTCACAGTAATAGCACCAAATTCATCTTCAAACAAATCCATATTAGGTATTGGTTTGTTTCTGTATTTCTTAGCACCTGGCCATTCCTGTATATAACAAAAATAAACAAGTATTAGCCATAAACAATAACAAAAACACATAGGGGCATGTAGAAACGTCACGTATGCAATAATGCTTATGTAAGCAGCCTTATTTGTCAACTAGAATTTCATCCTATGTGCTCTACATATTTTCTATTTCTTTCTTATCTCTCTAACTCTCGTCTATATCTCATGAAAAATTCGAAATAAAAGAGAGGACCATTTCCATTTTTCTAATAGACGAAAAGAACATCGACTTTCACCTAGAGATATTAAAGTAAAGAGAAGTCGGGAACATATTGCAGACATTGGGTATTGACAATTTAATAGTCGAAAACACAAAGTAACAAAGTAACAAAGAAAGAAATTAAACACAAACACAAAGTAACAAAGAAACAATAACTAAAGCACAAGTATTAGCCATCAAATGACAAATAATCCAATTCCTTCATAAACTCAGATAAATCACGAAAACCCAACTCAAGAACATCTTACAACAACGTACAGATGAATGACCAACAAAAACATGACCTGAAGCTAATGCCATTCACGATTTAACATGTATATGAGAAAGCAAATGTTACATACCGCTTCACGCTGATCCCACCAATCATCAGACATGTCCAATCTTCCCATTTCATCATATCCCAATCCTGTTCTATTGCGAGTCAACTTGTTGAATTTGACCCATGATTTCTTACTTGAATCATACTTGTTTTTGAATTTTTCCCATTGGTATCCTCTCCTAAATCTCTCTTCAAACTTCTTAATAATGAAGTCTTTTCCAGTTTGATTCATCCCATTCTTTGTTTTGTTTCCCTTTTTTTTCTCCTCCGCATAGAGAGTGAAAAAATACCGACATTCCTCATCGGTCCAATTCTAAAAAACAATGTCTAGAATCAGTCACAATATCAACTAATAAATAAAGCACAGATTACTTACTCAAAATTCTTGTTTATCTCTGATCCTTGCTCAAAATCAAAATCTGCAAAAGACAAACCACATTGTGCTAATCATTAACTAGCAGGGACAAGCAACAAAAAGATTCATCCTTTTTACGTTGAGCAATTGAGAATACAGAGATATGCAATATTACCTGCACTCCTTTGACTTGTATCTGCTGAATAAGCTCTGTAAACACACCTGTTGCATGAATATAAACAAATATATAAGTTCTAAGGCATACCCATGAATAAGCTCTGTAAGCACTTGGAAGATTGCTAACTAATTAATAAACGTAATTTGTGCTATCTTTACAATATCTTTACGAACAGGGCTTTTATCAAGTTTAATTAAAAGTTTGGAGTCACTCTCTTGACTCTATAGAAAGTCGGTGATTTAGGTGGATTGGAGAATCTATACTAAAGCTTTAAAGTTGATCAAATCCAAGACAAAACAAACAAAACTGGTAAGATCCATCGATTCCACTTCTAAAAACAGCTTACATGACAGTACAACACAGCACTAGTATAAGATCCATCGACTTTCTTGATTCTATAGAAAGTCGGTGATTTGATGCATATGGTAACCAAACCCGAAAGAACACTCACAGTCTCAGACATTCTATAGATGTTTTGATGCATTCATTCAACAATGTCACTATAGCTAAATGATGCAGCATATCTACCATTGTTGCAAGGAGAAAGAAAGCTTAAAGGCGAGCTCACTAATCAGGTCACAGCAAAGAGAAAGAATAATCAAATGCAAAAACAGCCTTAGACCCTTGAACACTCTAATATGGTACCAAACACAAACACACACAGACCCATTAAGTAACACATTGGAGAAGGAAATAACGAAAATTGAAAAAAAAAGTGAAGTTCTCGACCTGGGAAGAGAGAAGAGGATTGATGGAGTTTGGAAGGTGGGTTTAAAGCCGCTTCTGCTCCCGATCCATTAAACTTTTAAGCTCAGCTGATGGAGAAGATGGAGAAGATGGAGAAGATGGAGAAGATGAATGGGGAAGAAGAGTTTCGGCGCAGATGAATGGAGAAGCAGAGTCTCGACACATTTTTTTTAGGGTAAATATTTTTTGTAATTAACAAATGTTATAGAGTTAATTTTGTAATTTACAGTTGTAAGCGCCGCGTTTTTGTCGCAACGCTGGATTTGATCAGCGTCCAAAAATTAAAGACGCAGAACGCAGCGTTTGGACGCTGCATCTGGCCGCAGGAAACTGCGTCAGAGTAACGAACACCAATCGGACGCAAGCCGCAGCCGCAGCCTCCTGCGGCAAGCAAACGAACAGACCCAAATCATAAGATCCCTCTCTTCCGGTCTTCCTACTAAGTATCCTGAAAACTTGAAAGTTTGTAGACTCGACAACATGCATTCAGGAACAGTACTTGGTTGATTCCAGAAAACTACACCATTAGTTCCATAAACCTGAGTATCAAGAAGAAGAATTAGACTCATGAAAACCATAGTGTGTGTGTGTGTGTGCGCATTATGAAAACAATGTTTATCGAAGAAACTTACATCCTTTCCATAGAGTTGTAGATCTAGCACACGTAACTTGGGCAACTCTTTGAGCATCCAGACAAGCAAATTCGCCGAATATCTTTTGCGTATATGTAGCTTCAGATGTACAAGCTGGTTGAAGACAAAACTATCACCATACACACCCTGCAAACAATACTAAAATATTCACTAACACAAGATTCTATAAAATGAGATTAAATACAAAACCATTACCTCTGAACTATAGTCTACTTGCCATAATGTGAGACGCTTGACAGATGTGATTGATCCGATAAGCTTCTCGATATAAGGATAGCTAACATCTAGAGATGCCTCACTCAGCTTAGGCATATTCTAAATCTCAATCAAACAGTGGTGAATCATAGAACTATAATATGTAAAATCCAAGTACTTCAAAGAAGGAGTCTTTATCACAATCTCATCTAAATCATGAGCTGTACGAAAATTTAAACGTTTCAATGACGGGACGATAGCAATGAACTTTCTCCAATTATCAAATAAACCTCTTTCAACAGATAGATCTTTAAGAACAGAGCAATTAGATAGAAGCCGTTGAAGAGAATCTTCATTGAGGTATGTCACCCGTACAAGTCGCAAAGTTATGAGACAAGGTAGACAAACCATACGAGGAACATCCATGAGAATGTCTCCGTTGAGTTTCAAGGTCACGAGCGTTTTGCAGGTATACAAGCTACTCGGGAATATGTTGTTCGGCAAGCTCAAAGAATAAATTTGAGAAATCTCCAGCTCTCGTACGTTGCGAGAAACTGCAGTTAGAACCCACAGTTTGATATCTTCAGGCTTAAATTGTTTTGCACCAAACTCGAGGTGGAAGCTTTCAATAACCGGAGCTCTATGTAATGGCAGATTTCTGTCAAGAAAACACTTTAACCTCTCGCATGTAGACTCTAGATAGTATCTACTAGTGTACTCAAGTTTAGGCAGCCACATCCAAAGAAACTCCCATTGTTTGGACAAGATGCTAGTGGACACAGCATCTTTGGTAGGAAGAAACGATAATATTTTTATCAGCAATTCGTCAGACAACTCACTGATGCCCATATAACCTTACAAAATAAACGAAGAAATAAACAAAGTAAGACTAACAGAGTTCGCCTGAATCCATATCTTTACAAATGCTGTTACCGTGGACAGGAACTTGGATTTCTGAGTTTTACAGAAAACACTCTGAAACATATGGACAAAAGAAGTTGGACAAGACCTAGACTTGATGAAATAACAAATGAAACCAAAAAACCACGCGAAGAAATTGGACAAACATAGACTTGATGAAATAAAACCTAGAATTGAACATCTTCAAGCTTCGCAAACGAGCAAGTCCAAAATTTGATCAATTGGGTTTATTCACGTGCACATCTAATATCCGATTAGCTTGAGAAATATTCAAACATTTATGCGGAATCTGATTTTTTTTTTCTCCAATCACTCATTTCCCTGGTAAATGTATACGATCACTGTTACCTCGATTTGTCTTTGGAAAATCGCCAATTGCAGATTTGACCTTTTTCGAACTTCTTGGCGGAAATCAAACACGAGAGAAATAAATTCTTCGGAAGAACCACAATCGCATTTGTGAGAAGTCGAGTCGAGTGAGGAAGAAGGAGAGAGAAATTAGGAATTTAGGGTTTAGCTAAGTCTCAGAGCAAACCGATCGGTTCTAATTGGTTTCGAATCCGAATTGAACCGAAAGGAAAACCTAAAATTCCTATTTCCGATATTTTTAAAAGTAGTTCATGTTGAGAAAAAAACTAGGATCTTATTATTTTCATAAGCAGTGTATATATACATTACATAACTAATATATCATAAACCTTAATGGGCCATGAGACATTAACCTGATGGTTAATGGGCCGGTTACTAAAAGTCTATTTGTTTATAACACTCCCCTTGGACAAAGTAACCGTGCCTGTCACAAAACCGGGATCTCTATAATGCGCTGGGGAACGTTGCCTCATTAAAACCTTACCAGGAAAACCTAGTGGGAAAAACCATGCTGAAGGAAAAAGAGTACAACACGCATTACTCCTCCTGGTTTAGGCATCACTGTAGATCTCTAAGTCTACGCATTCCTATCTGATGAATGAGCTTCCGGAGTGTAGAAGTCGGTAATGATTTAGTGAATAGATCGGCTGAATTTTCGCTTGATCGGACATGCTGAACCTTGACCTGACCATCCTTCTGTAGCTCATGAGTAAAGAAGAATTTGGGCAGAATATGCTTCGTCCGGTCACCTTTGATGTAGCCGTCCTTGAGTTGAGCGATACAAGCTGCATTGTCTTCATACATCACCGTAGGCTCCTTATCTTCGTCCATACCACAATCTGATCGGATATGCTGAGTCATGGACCGCAACCAAACACACTCTCTACTAGCTTCGTGAATGGCCAAGATTTCCGCATGGTTGGATGAGGTAGCGGCAATAGTCTGCTTCATGGATCTCCAAGATATGGCTGTTCCTCCATGCGTGAAAACATAACCGGTTTGAGACCGGGCACAGTGCGGATCTGACAAATATCCTGCATCAGCAAAACCAACTAGACCATCCTTGTTATGGTTAGAATAAAATAATCTCAAGTCCTTAGTACCTTGAAGGTATCTAAGGATGTGCTTAATACCGTTCCAGTGCCTTTGAGTTGGACACGAACTAAAGCGAGCTAAGAGGCTCACGGCAAAGCAGATGTCTGGTCTAGTGTGACTAGCCAAGTACATTAATGCTCCTATGGCACTGAGGTATGGCATTTCAGGACCGAGGATTTCTTCATCGTCCTTCTTTGGACCGAATGGATCACTATCCAATCCAAGGCTCCTCACAACCATTGGGCTGGTCAATGGGTGGGCCTGGTCCATATTGAATCTCTTGAGTACCTTTTCAGTGTATGCCAATTGATGCACAAGGATTCCGTCATTGACGTACTCAAGTTGTAATCCCAAACAGAATTTAGTTTTGCCTAGGTCTTTCATTTCAAACTCTGCTTTTAAGCATTCAACTGTTTGGGCGATTTCACCAGATGTTCCGAGGATGTTCAAGTCATCCACGTATACTGCTATGATTACAAATCCTTTGTTTTGATATTTTCTGATGAAGATGCATGGACTGATCGGATCGTTTTCGTAGCCTTCTCTGATGAGATATTCGCTTAACCGGTTATACCACATACGTCCGCTTTGTTTCAGTCCATATAAGGATTTGTTCAGCCTAATGCAGTGTTTATCACGAGATGCATGCTTATCTTTGAGCTCAATACCATCTGGTAATCTCATATAGATTTCACTGTCCAGTGGTCCATAAAGATATGCGGTTACAACATCCATTAACCGCAAATCTAAGTTTTCTCTTATGGCCAGACTTATGAGGAATCGAAATGTAGTTGCATCCACCACTGGAGAATAAGTCTCCTCATAATCGATTCCGGGTCTCTGTGAGAATCCTTGTGCTACAAGGCGTGCCTTGTATCTAACGACTTCGCCGAGTTCGTTTCTTTTACGCACAAAGACCCATTTGTTTCCCACTGGTTTAACATCGAATGGTGTCCTTAAGATCGGACCAAACACATTCCGTTTCTTTAAACTATTCAACTCCACGTTTATGGCTTCTTTCCATTTCAGCCAATCTGATCTACGAGTGCACTCAATTATAGACGTGGGTTCTAGATCCTCTTGCGTGTGCGCAATCTCAAGTGCTACTTTGTATGCAAAAGTTTCATTGATGTCGACATCTTTTCTGTTCCATAGAGAACCGAATATGATATAATTGATTGAGATCTCATTATTATCAATCCCTTCAGAACCTTGAGTTTTGGCGTCCCAAACCTCTTGAGATGGTTCGATAGGGTAAGTATCAGCTGAGGCTGTATCCGTGTTCTCTTGAATCCCGGTTTCAATCATTGCACCTTTCTTTGATTTCCGGGGATTCTTATCTTTGGAACCTGGTGGTCTGCCACGTTTCTTACGTGCGTCAGACTCTGTAGCAACTTGACTTTTCCCTGAGGGGACATCTATTCGTACTGGTGCATTACAAGCTGGTATGTACGATTTAGTAACTTTGTTCGGGTCAGCAAAGGAATCTGGCAATTGATTAGCTAGCTTTTGTAAATGTATAATTCTTTGGACCTCTGAATCACATTCTAGAGTCCGAGGATCTTGCCATTGTGTGGATGTTTGATTCCATGAAAGTTCTTTTACCAGCTTGTCTGTCTCACCACCTAATCTAGGATATACCGATTCATCAAATCGGCAATCTGCATATCTGGCTTTAAACAGATCTCCTGTAGTTGGCTCGAGATATTTTATGATGGTGGGAGAATCAAAACCAACATATATTCTCATCCTCCTTTGAGGTCCCATTTTAGTCCTTTGTGGTGGTGCAATGGGTACATAGACTGAACACCCAAATGTTTTAATATGGGAGACGTCTGGCTCATGACCCGTTAGCAATTGGGATGGTGAATATTTGTGCTCACTAGATGGTCGTATGCGTATTAGTTCAGCGGCATGTAAGACTGCGTGTCCCCAAGCTGAGACCGGGAGTTGTGACCTCATGAGTAATGGTCTAGCAACCCATTGAATTCGTTTAATGAAGGATTCAGCTAATCCATTTTGTGTATGGACATGTGGAACGGGATGTTCAACACTTACCCCCATGGACATACAATATTCATTAAACGCTTGGGAAGTGAATTCACCAGCATTATCAAGACGTATAGTCTTTAATGGGAAGTCTGGAAAATGGGCTCGTAATCTGATGATTTGGGCCAATAACCTAGCAAAAGCCTGGTTCCTAGAAGAGAGCAGACAGACATGCGACCAGCGGGTCGATGCGTCAATGAGGACCATGAAATATCTGAATGTCCCACAAGGTGGGTGAATTGGTCCACATATGTCTCCTTGGATTCTTTCCAGAAAGTTCAAGGTCTCTTTAGACACTTTGACTGGTGAAGGTCGGGTAATCAGTTTCCCTTGTGAGCAAGCTGTGCACTTGAGGTGCTGAGGGAAAATACCATTTGGTTTAAGGTTGTGCCCTTTAGAATTCTGGACTAATTTACGCATTATGTTCGCACCGGGATGACCCAGGCGATCATGCCAAATAGTGTAATCTAAAAACCGTGCTTTGATAGCAGCATTAGCCTCAATCATACTGACTTTAGCATGGTAAATGCTAGTAGATACGGCGGGTATAGTTTCAAAAACTTGTTTATGGCCATTTATCATTTTAGTGATAATTAAAAACTCTTTGTTCCCTTCATCCTGAGTTTCGATATGGAAACCATTCAATCTTATATCTTTGTAACCGGCCCATTAACCATCAGGTTAATGTCTCATGGCCCATTAGGGTTTCAATGGTTTGAGAAGAGCTGAATAGTTTCCGAATTTCTTAATTTTCGGATAACTTTATAAATTATATATAACAAAGATTATATCATGTAATTAGTTTGATTCCTAATAAAGGATTAAGCAAAACCCATCCTAATCAACTCTGTTAGAAGCTTAAAAGCATTTACATTTGAGTATCATCAACAAGAAGTCTAAAATTTACACACAAATTTGCTTTTCTAACAAAACATTTGGGGTTTCCATACAACAATCTATACGAACAAATCTTAACAATTCCATGCGGAATCTGCTTTTCTCCTCCATACAACAATCTATACGGTCATTCAGCTTCAGGTTCAGGTTCTCTATCAGTATCATCCTCAACAAAAACGAGTTCGCATGTGCTTGAAGCTCGGGAAGAAAGTGTCAACTCCTTGATCATCTCAAGGTTTGACACATAATACTCTGTATCAGCCCATATTGTTGCCTTCTTCAAGCGACAAGCATTCTTCAAGATGTAAACAGCAATCTCTCTCTCTTGTGGTCTCCCAAAGTATCTTGACCAGTTGAGGATTTGTAGACTCGACAATAGGCATTCAGGAACACGACTCGGTTGATTCCAGAAACCCATAAAATCATCATCCCCATCCATGTTATGATCCTGAGACCAAGCAGAACATATTAGAACTAAACCGTACTGCGTATAAGACAAAACAAAAGATAAGTTTATCAACGAAGAAACTTACTTTTAGTACACAGATGTCTAACACTCGTAAGTTTGGAGAAACTTGGAGCAACTGGCCAAGGAAAGTCGACGAATCCTCTTTGCACCCACATAGCTTCAGATGTTCAAGATGTTTGAAAACAAAACCATCACCAGACACATCATCCTGCCCCACGATATTCAAAAAATGATTAAACAGAGGATTCTACAAATGAGACTGAAGACTTGCTGCAAAAGTGATTACCTTGGAACATATAGTAAGACGCTTGGCCGATGTGATTGATCGAATAATACTCTTGAGATCATATGAAAAAAGATCAACATATGCTTCCTTCAACTTTGGCATATTCCTAATCTCACCGTAGTGTTCCCTATCATTCCAATCCTCAAGTTTGAAATACTCTGAAGAAGGAGTATCTATCAGATACCCATCTAAAGGCCAGTAATTAGGTGTTATGAATGACAAACTCCGCAAAGACGGGACGATAATAGTGAACTCTCTCACAGTGTCATGATTAGCATGACCAAGATTCACCGATAGGTCTTCAAGAACAGGACATATAGATAGAAGCCGTTGGAGAGATTCTTGATCATATGTGAAATTTATAAGCTCCAAGGTTTTCAGAGAGCGAAGACAACCCGTTAAGGGAACATCCATGAGATTTACGAAACTGAGTTTCAAGATCACGAGCGATGCGCAGGTGTAGAAGCTGCCCGGGAATATGTTTATGGTCTTCGAAATATAAGAAATCTCCAGCTCTCGTAGACAGCGAGAAACCGAAATCTGAACCCACCGTCTGATAGTTTCAGGTCCAACATTTAAGACATTACCAAAAACGAAGTCGAGACGCAAGCTTTCTATGACCGGAGCTCTATGTAATGGCAGATTCTTGTCAATAAATTTCCGAAGTGTCTTAGACTGTTGATAATCTCTTTTTCTGATTACAATATCCCGAAGTATTGTAGACTCTGGATCATTACTATACTCAAGTTTAGGCAACCACATCCAAAGAAACTGCCATTGCTTAGACAAGACGCTAGTGGATACAGCAACTTTGGTTGGAAGATACAATAATATCTTCACCAGCAACTCATCAGGCAAATCACTGAGTCTGGCCATATCGTAGAAATTCGACGAGATACTAAAAGAAACTTGGATTCTTGGTCTTCCCTGAGGAAAAATTGAAAAAGAACTCAAAAGGATTTCGTCTATAGCCAAGAAAATGAACAGAACAAAAACCCCTGGAAAAACCCTATAAAGAGATTACCTTTAAAGTTAATCAGAGGGCTCGATTTCTGCCTCGGAAACCGGAATCAGAAGATAAATCAGGAAGTTCCACAAGAACTGCGAAAGCCAAGCAAATGAAATAGTAACTAGAGAAAACACATGAACAGAACAAAGCCCTAGAAAGAAAAGATGGAATGGGACAAAACCCTAGAAAGAAATTACCTGTGAAGTTAACGAGAGGATCGATCTCTGCTCTGAAACCGGAATCAAATCGGAAGTTCTATATAGTACCCATTTCAGTTTTCTGAATAAATGCGATTCAATCTTCGATATTTGAATCGAGAAAGGGTAAATACAAGATGAGACTTGAATCGAGAAAAAGAGGAGGAAGAAGGAGAAGAAAGAAATCGGAATCACAGTCGAAGGAGATTCGTTATCATCGTCGCTACAAGATCAAACGGTGTCGGATTCAATTTTAAGTTTTAATTGGATTATTAGCGGAATGTTTAATGCCATATGATCTAATTTTTTGTGTGGGCTTGATAATGGGCTTTGACTCTTTTCACCTTTTCCAGCATTTTAATAGAAGTATCTATTGGAACAAAAAATTGGAGAAAAGCGGGTATAAATTTAAGAGTATTTAAGACATGAAAACACTATTAAAATGTATATTTGAAACAAAATGCCTAAATCTATTAGCGAAATAAATAAAAAATAAAATAAAAAATAGAGTTCTTCATTCATATCAGTTCAACTGTAAATTGATTCAGGTAAGTCAATTGTATCCAGTTATTTATACTATTAAAAGAGAAAAAGTATTTTGTGTCCAAACAAATTTTTATTTGGTTTTCGACTATTCTGATTTTGATAAGTGTTATTTCTATTACCAAACAAAAATATTAATTTTAATTTAAATTTACCAAATAAATGTATTTAGTGTAATATAAATAAAATAATATATTTTTAATTTCTATTTTAATATAAATCTGAAAATTTGGTTTTTAATATAGATTTGTTATAGATTTCCTTAAATATATATTATCAAAAATTATAAAATAATTTATTATTATATTTTTATAAAAATAGTAATCCAGATATTAATTTAGATTTAATTTAAATATTCAAATTTAAATAATATTTTCAATGACAGAGATGAAAACAATATATTTGTATTTGTATTATATTTGAAAACAACTATGCCCTACACTGTCTCTCGAACTTAGCTTCAGCATCAGCATCTGCGTTTGGTGCATTGTGCTCATCTTCAGGATTACTCTCATTCTGATCACCATCAGAAGCATTTTCATCTTCTCCAAAGCCATCATTCACCTCACCTAACCCAGCATTATCTCCATTTTCCATTTTTGCCATAAAAGACTGAAATCTCTCATCATCGGCTCTTTCTTCTACAACTTCTTCCCCTTGTGCGAAGTCATCTGGGTGTGGATCTTCAGGAGCTTTATCATCTTCAACATCATCACCATCAGACTCGCCTCCTTTGTTCTCTTTTCTCTGATACACTACAAGAGCTTGACAAACGCTTCCTTCATTCTCAACGCTTCCTTCAATATCTCTTTCCTCATTCTCGACAGGCTGAGGAGGTACAATTTTCTCAATGTAAACATCCACTTCACCGCCTACACTAGCTTCAGCACACATCTGCATTAACTCTGCATTAGAAGAGAGGTAAAATATAGCCCTCGCTGAGTCTACACTCTCTTGTGGCAGCTTGTACCATAGTTGTTCCACAATGACGCCGGCTCCTATGGCTTCTTTGTCGCAATAGTCATCAAAGACGCTCCAAGTCATATAATCTGGGTCGACGACTAACCCCTCCTTCACCGAACCTCCTATGTATACTCGCTTAGAATCCTTGATGTACATAAGCCCTCCATAATGCAAATTGATTTTTATGGTGTCACTGCATTATCGAAAAAGAAGCAGATGTCACTAAAAACAACTCAGAACTAATCGAAACACAACACGAAATTGATAATCAAACAATCTAAGCTTCATAATCGACACAAATATCAACATTACACAGCCCAAATGCCTTGAATTTAGATCCTTACCTCATCCTTCGAGTCTCGCCGAAAGTCGCCGTGAAGACGAAGATCTCTTCAGATGAGCAATACCGATTCGAGAGGGTTTAGAGAACTGGTATTTCGATATGCGATTTGTTGTCCTTGAATTGGGGAAAATCTATTTGGGGAAAATCGATTTAGAGTTTTCGATTTGGGAAAATTCGATTTGGGGAAAATCAATTTAGGGTTTTTGTTTTGATTTGGGGAAGAACATGGGATATACGATATGTTTTGTGAGGGTAGGTTTTTTGGTCTTTTCATGTATAAATTAAACCCACGTGATTAATCTTCTTAACACTGTATCACTATCTCTGTTTAACATTTAAGCATAATTAAAAATAGGTAGTTAAACTTACCGTTTTTGAAATTTCGGGTATTAAAGATGTAGTCATATAAATGTCAGATATTTAAAAGGGAGCCAAAATAGTTTAGGTATTTTTCTGGCAAAAGTTATAAACGTGAGGTATTTTTAAGGTTTTTTCCCGTATTAAAACTGAATACTATTTCATTCATGTTGAAATTTAATTAATTGTCAATGATTCTTGCAGAGATTTGATTTCGAGTTGAATTTAAAATTAAAATCTGATCGTGATTTTCCAAAAATATACTTAACTAGAATTATAATATTTTCCAAATAAAATGCATTAAATTACAGATTTAAGTGATTTGTTTTGATTATCAACTATTTCCAAAATCGTTTTATAGAATATTCCTTCAAATTTAGATATATTAAATGCATAAAATATTATTTCCATAATTTACCAACATTCGATTTAAATATTATTGCCTTAACTATTTCCATAATATCTTTTATCATACAATTTTGGTAACTTATAATATTTTTTCAAAATTCGTATTTGCATATACTATTTTTTTTCAATTCAGATTTATTTACCAACAAAACTTCTTTAACAAGCTCTACTAAATCTAAGCTTTTATAAGAGGTGCATATTTCATTGTTACTCTCATCTTTATCGAGTTTTAGTTGTGATTTTCTAAAAGTCTAATGTTTATATTTGTTGCCTATCATTTTATGAGTTTGATTTCTTACTATAGTTTATTTTTTGAAACAGAATTAGATGGGAAAACAGATGAAGTTTTGAGGCCAATTTATGGGGGCTAAAGAAGTATGGAGGCTAAAAATCAAGGTTTTGATTTTTCTATTTTTTTTTCTTTTTGTTTAAATTTATTCATCTTCTTTCATATGAAGTGATAATTTTATATAATTATTCATTTACTTAATTCCTATTTAAGTTTAACAAAATTTAACCAATTATATTTTAAATTTACTTTCAGAATATTTGATATAAATCATAAATTTGAAAGAAAATATTAAATAAAATGATAATATTATTAATTCATGATTTTGACTTTTATTAAATAATATTTTACTGTCACAAAGGTTTTAGTTGTGGTTTTCTAAAAGTCTAATGTTTATAGTTTTTGCCTATCATTTTATGACTTTGATTTTTTTACTATATATTTTTTTTTGAAACATAAATAGATAGGGAAACAAATGGAGTTTTGAGCCCACATTTATGGAGGCTAAAAAAGTAAGGACGCTAAAGTATCAAGGTTTTTATTTTTCTATTTTTTTTTTTTTTTGCTTAAATTTATTCACCTTCTTTCATATGAAGCAATACTTTTATATAATTATTCATTTACTTAATTCTTATTTATGTTTAGAAAAATTATATAAAATCACATAGTTAAAATAAAATTAAAGATTTTGAAATTAGACTTAAGGAGATGAAAACAAGTAAAGATGGTGAAAATAAACAGTTTACTTATGAAATCATAAACTTATGTATTACCTATGAGAAATGAACATATCTAATTATTCATTTCATCTAAAAAACAATAACGCTAATATTATAAATTAATTCTCATCCCATGCATAGCACGGATCAAAAATCATATTTTTATATATATTGTGAGAAAATATATCATCTTAGATATTATATTAAAAATAAAAAATTTAAGTTAAACCATCGTATGAACAAAAATGTTAAGTTAGAATTTGTGACTTTTATAAGAGTTTTACGGGCTATCCAAATTTTAAATCATGATAAATTAGAATTTTAAAGATTTTAAAGTAAAATAAAATTTTGTAAAATCACATAGTTAATTAAATAAAATAAAAGTCTTCAAAGCTAGACTGGATGAGACAGAAAAATAATAAAAGAGCGAGAACTGGACGATTTAGATATGAGACTACAGATAAAAAAACTATAAGATTAAATTTAAACCTGAGTATAAGAAGGAGATGGATGACATAAGTTGAGTTAAAATTTTTAATGGATCTAACGTATGATCTATGGATAAAAGTCTTTGATATTAATTTGAGTTTAATTTTAATTTTTTTTGTTAATATGTTATTGTCATAACTATTGTTACCTGGAAATTCTTCGATCTAATAGGGAAGGTCATTGCTAGAGACTTTACTAAAAGTTTATCAATGTACTTCAAAAAATATTAGAAAGAATTTGCTTCTAAAAAAATGAATAACGATTTAAAAGACAACACAAAATTTTTGATTTTGTTGGCTTTTAAAAAATAAACCATGGTAGGAACAGAAAGACAAAATTAATCAAATTTTGTGAATTTTTAATATAACTTTACAGTTTTTAAAAGAGTTAAACCTTGACCGAAGAAATTAAAACTTGAAAGATTTTAAAATAAATAACAAATTATAAAGTCTCATAATATGGAACAACAATAAAGATAACATGAAAAGTGTCACAAACTATCAACAATCTTTCAAAGGTATATACATCTAAATGATATAAAAAATATATCTTTGTTAAGGTACTTCAAAAAACAAATTGTAGAGAATTTGACTTTCAAATCATGGATAATAATTAAAAAAAAAGTTAAGTTTAATTTTGTTGGTTTTTAAACTATTGCAGGAGCAAAAAAGCTATGTTAAACTTTGTGAATTTTAAAAAAAAATTTCAAAGTGTTAAATATTCGTTAATAGAACTTTAAAATTTATTTTTAAAATAAAATAAGATTCGCATAGTAAAAAAAATTAAAAATTTCAAAATAAGATTAAAAAAAATGGAAACAAGTAAAAATGGTGAGAAGAAACCATTTACACATGAAATTATAAACTTACGTATGAGAGATAAATATACCAAATTATACATTTATCTAAAAATATCAATGTTAATATTATAAGTTAATTTTCATCCTGTGCAGCACAGGTCTAAATCTAGTAATACTTTTATAATCATATTTCTTTTTAGATTCATATGAACGGTCTAGTTAAAATTATATTTTTATAATTATAATTATTTTTAATACTATAAAATTAAATTTACAAAAAAAAACTATATCTAAAAA